TCTGTACTTTGTTGACAATAGCGGTTGCGTGCGCAGAGAAGGAGAGCAGCGAAATTGCTATTATATTTTGGTTAGAATATTTTATTTAGGTGAAAGTAAAAAAAGAGGAAGAAGTGTATAGTGTAAACTGAGGATAATAGCGCAAATGAAATGTGAAATAAAGTGGCAGTACCAGCGATTTTAGGTTATAATAATTTTGGCAGGCGCAAAGTTTGTTTACTCTGTTTTATTAACAAAATATATAAAATAAATGTGAATAAATGATTTTGTTTGCATAAAACAATAACCGGAGACGTTTTAATAGTGTTTTAAAAGTGGGAACTGGTGATTTAATGCATTTTTGACGTGGTAATTGCTCATAGAAAACAACGAAATTTAACAAATTTTTTTGTTTATAACTTTTAAATGGTTAGAAATATTAGCCCTCCCCCTCCGGATTGTTAATAGGGTGACCGAAACGCGTCGTTTGGTACCCCTCCCGACTTTTTCGGACCTTTTTTAGCGGTTACCCTATACTAGAGAATTACCAAAATAACTATTCTTTACCTTTTCCCTTTTTCCCTTGCAAAAAATCTAAAATTCCCCTATTTTCAAACGGCTCCTTAGTCGTCTGTGGAGTGGTTGGGGGGGGGAGGGGTGACTTTTCATAAAGCGGCGTCCATCCTCTTTCGTTTAGGGAGGAGGGGTTTGGGGGTCACGCCAAGTTATACAATGCGGAATTGCAGTTAATAAGAAGGCATCTTTGGGCGACCGAGTATGGGGCGTTGTGCCATTGGAAAAAAATGGATCACACGCCCAATACGTTGTACCAGATTATTGTGTAAAATATAAGCATATCTATTGTTAATTATTTAAATAAACCCTTTTTTTTAGATATCTCCTGCTCCTAAGAGCTTATCAAATGAACAAGTTGCATCTGTTCTTTATGCCGGACTTACCGCATGGTCGGATGTTTACATTACTGGTCGCTTTTGTGATTCACTATCCAGTGCCAGTGGAAGAGCAAGAAATCGAGTCTTAGTGATAGGCGGTTCTGATAGTGTTGGGTCACTGGCGAAACAAATACTAAAATCTCAAACGGCAACTGTATTTGCGACTTGCAGTAAAGAAGCGTTCGAGCATGTAAGAAATCTAGGTGCTGATTTCGTAGTCGACTATAAAAATACCGAAGAGCTCGAAGCTTTGTATTAAGGATTTTTCTGCCGAAGCGGCTGTTCTAGCTGATGAGCGCGACAACCTTCGTCTGGCCGATCCCGGAAATCCCCGTATTAGGGATTTCAATTCGGAGATTCGGCAACTTTTGAACGTACATAAGCGGAAGAAATGGGAAGAGCATCTGAACACCTGCGATTTCGCCTCTGGTGTGAGCAAGCTTTGGTCAACCGTGAGGTCGTTGTCCAACCCGACGAAGCGCGACGACAGAGTCGAGATAGACTTTGGTGACCACGCTTCGTCGGACCCGGAGAGATGCGCGAGCTATTTTAGCAGGCAGTNAGGGGTTTGGGGGTCACGCCAAGTTATACAATGCGGAATTGCAGTTAATAAGAAGGCATCTTTGGGCGACCGAGTATGGGGCGTTGTGCCATTGGAAAAAAATGGATCACACGCCCAATACGTTGTACCAGATTATTGTGTAAAATATAAGCATATCTATTGTTAATTATTTAAATAAACCCTTTTTTTTAGATATCTCCTGCTCCTAAGAGCTTATCAAATGAACAAGTTGCATCTGTTCTTTATGCCGGACTTACCGCATGGTCGGATGTTTACATTACTGGTCGCTTTTGTGATTCACTATCCAGTGCCAGTGGAAGAGCAAGAAATCGAGTCTTAGTGATAGGCGGTTCTGATAGTGTTGGGTCACTGGCGAAACAAATACTAAAATCTCAAACGGCAACTGTATTTGCGACTTGCAGTAAAGAAGCGTTCGAGCATGTAAGAAATCTAGGTGCTGATTTCGTAGTCGACTATAAAAATACCGAAGAGCTCGAAGCTTTGTATTAAGGATTTTTCTGCCGAAGCGGCTGTTCTAGCTGATGAGCGCGACAACCTTCGTCTGGCCGATCCCGGAAATCCCCGTATTAGGGATTTCAATTCGGAGATTCGGCAACTTTTGAACGTACATAAGCGGAAGAAATGGGAAGAGCATCTGAACACCTGCGATTTCGCCTCTGGTGTGAGCAAGCTTTGGTCAACCGTGAGGTCGTTGTCCAACCCGACGAAGCGCGACGACAGAGTCGAGATAGACTTTGGTGACCACGCTTCGTCGGACCCGGAGAGATGCGCGAGCTATTTTAGCAGGCAGTTCATTCTGCATCCTCCGGTGGATAAAGCCAAACATCGAGTGACAAGAAGGCTGCACAAAATGCCAAAACCTAGTGCGCCTCTTTTTTTTCACCAGCGGTGAGGTAAGGGTAGCCATCGGGAAGGCGAAAGCCAAGCCTCCAAAGCATTGGACCCGACGGAATATGTATGTTGAAAAATTTGGGTCCTGCGGGAGTAGCGTACCTAACGGAGGTCCTCAACCTGTCTATGGCCACTCTCGTCATTCTAACAAAGGAGAGTCTTATCGCCCGATAACTCTCCTTTCCCCGGTAGCGAAGACACTCGAGGCCCTGCTGCTCCCGTACTTCACGAACCACCTGACCTCAGCGAAGCATCAACATGGGTTCCGTAAAGTGCAAGGTACAACAGCACTTAACGCCATAAACACTCAGATAACTCGTGGCCTAAACCGAAACCGAAACCTTCGCTGGCTATCGAAGATCGAAGATCGAAAGTGAAATTCGTATTATGAGCTATGCAACCGTGTCGAAATTTTCGTTGAGTATCGAATTTTCTGTCGAACAGAACCTTGCTCTCGATGGTGTAGCGAAGTGTTAGAAAATTGTGAAAAATGTATGATTTTGTATATGTGTTCTTACATTTTGGCGGCTAGACACTAATTTTAAACAATTTTTATTAATTTCATGCAGTTCTAACATCGTGAATACTAAACACAAGCTCGAAAGGCTGGTTTTACTTGTGAAAGAAAATCCCAATACTCTGTTGGCACGATCTCTGAGAACAAAATCGTAGCGCTGTTGATAGTTTTAAAATATTTCAAATAGATTTGGCTCTCAAACGCCTCTTTAGATGGTCGGAACTTTTTAATGAATCTGTAGACAAATTTCTTAAATATATTTTATACCAAAATTTATTCGAAATACTAATAAACTTAGACTCTCTTAAACATTTGCTACTCCTGGCCAGTTTACTAAGCTCTCATCCTCTGACGAATCGTTGAACCAGAACTCGTTGTACTCATTTTACCACGTTTTTATAAACTTGCTTTCTTTTTTACTTCATTTTAATTAGAACAAATTTACATAAATATGTATAAGCACACTATTTAGTTTGCTCGATTTGTAAACAAAGCTTCTCAGCGGTGAAAAATATTCTATTGTGAACAACCTAAACTAGCGAAATTCACAATAGCGCTATTCTTCATCGAATGAGTGCCATAATACCAAATGAAAATTCGTTCGCTCAGCACTTTCGACCACAGTCGGAAATCGAATGCAACTCATAATAGGGGCCATAGTCTCGTATGCTGAAGATTATTCGATCATGGCGTCTGGGAATGGAATTGATGACTTGTGCTCGCAAGTAAACGGTTACCTCTCCGAACTTTCTCGCTTCTTCACTGCGAAATCCTCGGCAACCCTTTTCACCCCCTGGACGAAGGAGTTCAGATTGCCACTGGGTATTCACGTCGATGGCGTAACAATACCGACGGTGAATAACCCGAAAATCCTCGGAGTTACCTTCGACAGTCTGCTCTCCTTCTCGGCACATACAACCGCAATTGTCAACAAAGTACAGAGCCGCAACAATGTCCTCAAGTCGCTGGCCGGCAGCACTTGGGGCAAAGATAAAGAAACGTTGTTGGCAACATACAAGGCAATTGGCCGGCCGGTTCTAAACTACGCAGCGCCCNGGTTCTAAACTACGCATCTACCGTATGTTCGCCGGGGACTAGCAGGACGCAGGGCCATTCCCACGACAGCCGGTTCTACGTACCGGAATGACTCGGGTTTTACCCGACCAAGGGCTGTTGTTTCGGCGATCTAACCCCGTTTAGGTCGGCGAAGTATCTCAGAAGTTGTCCGTCCATAGGGCTACATTCACTACGTATTCTCCTACTCAGGGCTGGCATCGAGTCAAACCCAGGGCCAGAAACCTACACCTGCTGTGTATGCCGGAGACGATTACACCACAACTCCACCTCAGTCAAGTGTAATGCCTGCGAGGCGTGGAGTCACCTCAGAGTCTGCTCAGGACTACGGACACATAGACAGTGGACCACGAC